ATATCTCGGTAATCAGAAGGTATTAACCCAAACCCAATATAGATTTAGATGCGTCGCGACAAGCTCTACAAAACCTGATATATAGCTTTCTGCTTCGACATACTTTCGAAAACCGGCAGGGTCCTTTATGCAGGAGGTAGTCGACTTCGCCGACGAGAAAAATAAAAATGGAAAACGACGTCGATCATGGAAGACTGTCCATCACATGTACAAATCACTTCCAGACCAAACTTATGTACGGCGATTTCGTAAATATCTGCAACGACACGGAACAAAACGACAAAAGACCAACAATATTGATGAGGTTGTCTTCAAAACAATTTTGGAAGCTCGGGAGCAAGCTTTGCCTCTGCACGACAATGATCTACAACGGTGGGCGCTAAAAGCAGCTAAAGAAGTGCATTTGGAAGATTTTCATGCTTCACACGGTTGGATGAACAACTTCAAAGCCAGGCATCACGTCGTATCACGACGAATAACGAATGTTGTCACACGTCACGAAATTGAAAATCCCGACGCAATCTTAAAAGCAGAAACTGACTTTCGTGAAAGTTTCTTTAAAATATCATCGCATTATAGTCCTTCTCAAACCTTTAACACGGATCAAGTAGGTGTCGAAAAAGAACTCTACTCAAAACGCACTCTGACGATGGAAGGCGAAAAAAAAGTGTTCGGTACTGTACGATCGAAAAATGCCACAACGCATAGCTATACATTGCAACCAACCATTTCTCTTGAGGGCAAGTTGGTGGGCCCAATGTATTTGTGTTTACAAGAGCCCAAAGGCCGATGGGCGACATGGTCAAAAAAGGCCTTTTTGAACCAAAGAATGTGGTTATCACCTGCTCCAGCAGCGGCAAACTGACGTCGTCTCTTGTACGCTACTGGCGTGATCATTGTCTGCTCCCATTCGTCGGCAATGAATGTTTTTTGGTATCGGACAGCTGGTCAGGCCAGGGCGACGCTGATTTGTATACTAAAGAAGCGTGTGGTGGGAAAAAAGTGCAACGTCTCGAGATTCCACCGAAAACCACGTCGGATCTGCAGCCATTGGACTGCTACACCAATCGTCAACTGAAAAACTTCATCAAAAAGTGTTATCAACGTGTAGCCTTGGACGAACTCGATATAGATCTGTACCAAAGAAATAATATAATCAAGCTAACATCACTCGTACACAACCAGTTAAGTGCGCCAATTTTTAGTCGTATGATACAGTATTCCTGGTTCGCGGTCGATCTTCTAAAAACGGATCCATCGCCATTTGCCAATCTACTCGAAGTCTGTTTCCCATCTCTCAACACGTACGAAGAATGCGACGAAAAGGAGTGCGACGAAAGTGTTTTTATCCACTGTTCCATCTGTTCAAAAAAGCTATGTTTCCTTCATTTTTTCGTCTCATATCATTTTCATGATTCAAGGTAGAGGCTGATAGCCCTTGGGCGCTTTTTTATTTTTAATCAAGAGGGACAATGCACATTTTTTCGGAATGAAAAAAAATGAAGAAAAAAAACCAAAAGAAAGAAGAAAAGATAAAAAACCCCCAAAAAAAGAAAAAATGCACGAAAAATATTAAAAAAAAGAAAAAAAGCACAAAAAATATTAAAAAAAATGCACGAAACAAAACTGAAAAAAATTGAGATGAAAGAGTGTACTTTCTCCCTTGTTTCAAGCCGTAGGGGTGGCCAGTTTTAACATGTATGGTTTCATGTTCGTGTGCCTGAAAGGAAAATCAGTAAGAGGTAGGGGAGGGCGGTGGGAAGGAGGGGAGGGTGGTGGAAGGGTCGAAAAGAATTTTCATTGAAAAGTAAAGAAAGTAATTCTGCCTTAGCAAAATCTTAGTTTTTGTTCTCTAGAAACCTTTCCAGAGACCTCGGAAAACTCCTAAAATATATTTTTCATAGGTTTCGCGATATGCTCTTTAATCTGGATGGATCAGAAAACGTTTTTGGAGAAAAAAGTTTTCTGGCCCAGAAAACTGGTTTTTCAAAAACCTGGTCTCAAGAGGCCTAGCGGCCCAAATGGTTGTCATATTCGGATTCAGCATACTCGATTACCTAGTATCCACTAGCTCGCGGCTAAAAAGCGATCGGACAGTTGGTGTCCTTTCCTCGTAAGACTAAGTTTACAGTTCTTTCCTTTCGATTCTGAGCTAGTGAGTGGATGTAAAACATTCTTTAATACAGCAACTTTTAAGTTTACAATCAAATAAATTACGCTTAAATTTTGTCATGCGGATTTTTTGCAAAAATGAGTTTGAGACTTTAAGCGTCTCTTGTAATAGTTACAGTTTATCTAGGCATGCACCAGTTATATAACTGGTGTTAGGGCATCCAGGAAAATTGTTATAACGCGATTATTAAGGATCGCTCAGACTTGCGGAACATCTCATTTTGTAGACAAATGTTTGATATCTGTTTTTGTTGAAACAAAAGAGGTTAAAGTTAATTGCGACAAAAATATGAGCAATTCTTAAATGCCGTAACTATACGTGGTAACTGGTCGCCAGTTACATAACTGTTAATGCCTGTTCGGTAATTCATTAAGAACGCTTCTCTCTTGCAATCTTTAATTTTATCTTCCATACAAATGTATAAAACAAACATTTGTCTACAAAATGAGATATTTCGCAAGTCTGGGCGATTATTAATAACTGCGTTATAACAATTTTTCTTGATACCCCAAAAAACAGTCGGAAATAACTGGTCCATAACTGGTGCATACCTAGGCTTATCACAACAGAAAAAATTGTTCAAAAAATTACGGGACAAACGGAACAGGACAAAAAGCCCGTAAATTCTTTTCACAGGACAGACGGGTTCGGGACAACACTATTTGCTCACGGGCTCGGGCTTACGGGATGGGACAAAAATGTTTATGTTCGGGTTCGGGCTTACGGGCTCGGGGCAATAGAAAAGTTTGTCCGCAGGACTCTACTAGTCACACACAGCTACATAGAGGTGACGACTTAACCTAACCAGCTATGGTCACTAATACGTACTAGGAATTGATATGCGCCTTGCTGTTTTCAAAATTCTTGAGGGGCGACTATTTGCCGTCTTATGCTCAGAGCGTTGAGTTCACGTTGAGTCACCCTCATCCTCACAAGCGTTGGCCGTTATCATTATGGAAAAAATTGATAACTGAATTGAAGAAACAATAATAGTTCCTTTGTTCAATTCTATGCCCAAAGAACTACTTTTTAATAATAACTTTTTCCATAATGGTGACAACCAACGCTTGTAGACATAGTATAACTAATGTCGGCATTGCTGCAGCTGGAAGGTCTCGAAGAATATGTAGACATCTGTCGCTAAGAAATAACACGTCTTAAAATTCCACGCAGTATCTCGATTAAGAAAATGTTTTAAAGAGAGTCACTTTCAAAGGTCTAGTCCAAAAACCGATTAATTTTTGTCACTTATTGTCAGAATACTTTCAGAAGTGTTTCTCAATGTAGCGCTTTGAAACTCCTACAGAGAAACGCGTAACAAGTAGTACCCTTCTCCACAGTTTTACACACGTTTTCTTACAATGTGTACCTGATATCTTCCACTTCGCCGCAGACAACACTCAAATTTTTACTGATAGGTATCCAATTCCGAAGAAGACTTGATCATTTTCAATTTTCAGATGTAGCTAACTAGAAATACTTTTCACAGTCGACGTTATGTATATTATAATCTTGTTTAAAACTGGAAACCTTAAACACCGTTCACAAAGACTTTAGAGATTCATGTCAAAGGTCTTCTAACTAAACAAGAAAAGTTTAGATTTGTTTTGAATGTCACCATTTATCAGCGATACATTCCAGTTCACAGTTAAATTAAAGTAGTTGGGTGGGATTCTTAAAGAACTGCGAGATTTCATTGTTCTCAGTAAGCGATTTAAAATTATTGATCACACTAACAACATTCTTCCACATAGTATTTCCTTTCTTTTGTTTTGGATAGCAACTCTATCGCAAGGTGCAGATTGCTGGACAGCATATGTTTCCATTCGTGAGAATAGTAGAATTTTAAGACGTGTTATTTCTTAGCGACCGATGTCTACGTATTCTTCGAGACCTTCCAGCTGCAGCAATGCCGACATTAGTTATACTATGTCTACAAGCTTTGGTTGTCACCATTATGGAAAAGATTATTAATAAAACGTAGTTCTTTTGGCATAGAATTGAACAAAGGAACTATTATTGTTTCTTCAATTCAGTTATCAATTTTTTCATAATGATAACGACCAACGCCTTTTGATATAGTATAACTGATGTTGGCGTTGCTGCAGCTGAAACATCGCGAAGACTATCTAGCGTCTTTCGCCAGGAGTATTGCTGCAGAAAATGTCAAAAACGAAAACAAAACTGCTCATCCGCGTAAGCTTTTTGAGACACGCTAGGTGAAATGTACATGGAGCAAAATTTTTGTCTGATCTACGCATGAAACATAAGATGTCAGTTTAATTGAGAAGCACTGTCATTTGTTGAAAGTCTAAACTATTCATTTATTCTGTAATTCTAAGCAGAGCTGGTTTCTGCTACAGCTTGAACGAACAGCGTCTTAATGACTGTTTGTCGAGTGTAAAGAATATTATGTGGTATTGTCGAAGAAAGAGTAGCAATAGGAGAAGAAAATGTGAAGCAGAAATGTATCCTTACCAAAAAAAGTAAGCAAACGAACGAATCGGAAAAGTTGTTCATATACAGAGGCAGCATCATGAGCATCATTTATAGAATTTACGTAAACTGTCATGGCTTCGCCATAAAAAATATGTCCGTTCGCTATTCTAAGAATGCGATTCGGTCTCATATGGTCCTAGTATGTTCTCACTCACAGGCGTACTTGACGATAACATCAGTTTACGTAGAAAAATCCTGTTTGTCACTATTTAATAGTGCATCTATAAGGAAGAAAAGTATGTATCAAAAACTGCTCAGCAGTCATCGCAATGGTCGTGAATACCACTGTCTTGGGTTCGATTCCCAGTCGAGATGCATACTTTTTTCCTTTGTCCAGCTGCTTTTAAAATAATTCAGAGTTTTCATAAGAACTTACTGATAAATGCTGTGATTTGGAAATAAATATTCAACCTCCTACTTAGTTTTAGGTCAGAAATATGCCAGATTTGCTTGTGTTAAACTCTGTCTCCATTGGTCGCTAACAGCCATGGCTGATGAAAAATTCTGGAGAATTGTACTGCAAGCAATAAAAAAGGTATTTTTTTCATCTCTTGAGCTAAGTCTGAATCGGACAAGTGAGTATAGAGGTCACTAAAAAGATTTCTCCCCATCGAATATCTCTGGTTACTCACCCTTTTGCGTAATCATAAATACAATATTATCAGCATTTCCATCATTGTTTGTTCCATATTTCTTCACATCTGATTTCCGTGTCAGTATCAAATATACATTAATATAGCGTGTTAATGATTTAATTACACCAGTTTTTGTCCTGTTCAGTAATGATGTTTGATTGTGTCTATCAATAGCAGAAACCGGTCCAATTTGTTCTGTATCTATTGTTTGATAATCATTATTCATAAAAAGAACAACAACTTTGGCGTCATCCTCTTGTTCAGCAACACCGCCCAGAAAGGCCGCCAAAGTATAAGACAATGATTGCTGTTCGATGCCTTTTGAATAAGAGATTGTCCACAGCCGACTTCCTGTCAACAAACACCCCTTGTCCGTTTTCAAGTCTCCTCTTCCTAGAACACGACTAAAGATACTGTTCGTCATCTTCTTCTATACTCTTCGAATCGGGTGGATGTGATGCACAGTGCGCATATTGGGGTCAATGACCATCATATAAATATTTTTCGCACCGAATATACCCACGTTTTTGCCAGTTGTCTGGAAGTCCTAGGATGCTATCCACATTCTATCCGTCAACTCTTTTCAACGCACATAAATTTCGATTATTATATACACCAATGGGAGCAGTTCATCTCAGAAACCTAGAAACAACTAGATAGGCAGGATAAAGATGTAAGCAACGAAAATTCGAAATGTCGTAAACCATAACATCGTTCTGGAGTAGCATGCTAGAAGCTACTTATTTTCAGCAAATAAATAATAATAAACTATTCATCATGTATAACGGACGCACATTTTCAAAATTTTCGCTATTAAGAAGGACGAGCTCTAGTTACTAAAATCACGTGCTTCTTAAATCAAAATTAAACAATATTCACCGTTAATCGAATCACGTAATAACAAAGATGAATATCATATCGGTCTTCAAATATTCTACCGCTTCCTAGGGATATTCTAACATCGAGGTATTAAAATTTCTCCGAGATAAACAGTATGTAATATGTTCTATAATGTGTTAACAATTCGACGAAAAACTGATGCGGATCTGAAGTAAGGATCGTTGACCATTGTTAGACGATGGTTTTAGCTATTGATTCCCAGGCAAAGCGAAGTGTAAGTACAGACAAAGTATTACAATGTGCGCTGAAAAGAGAAGGTAACAATAAAATCAATCATGTTCTCTTAGTGAAAAAGGGTACTAAACAGCAATTCAACTCAAAAAGAATAAATTCCAAATAAACACAAGCATTTTCGGATGTCCATAACCACTCGATCCTTCTTCTTTAAGGCTGTGTAGTTTTAGCTGGTCTCGCTCCGCCTTAAGCGGGACATTCTTTATGGATTGTCTATAAGCTGTTAAATTAATAACCTGTGACATATTGGATATACCATTATCTGTTTGACCCTTGCTTAGTTTTCCATTACCACCACAATAATAGCAATAGCCGCGATCCCTTAAAAGCAACAGGATGGTGACAGAGCACTTTTGCTTCTGTATGGAACCTTTCTTACTCCCTCTCAAACTGGACAGACAGTAGCAAAAGTCAGTTTCAGTGGATATATTTACTATTGCAGAGTAGATAACAGAAACTTGAGTATGAAACTTCTATCAAGAAGATCAGGAGATTTTAAAACTTAAAGCGGACGCGAAAGACTTAAAGACTTAAAGCGGACGTCTAACTCTAGGCTTTATTCTTTCTTCAATGCATGTTTTCTAACTTTCTCCTATTGATGTGTTACTTACGTTGAAACTACCTATATTCAAAAAGAAACTCAAAACACGTGGCTAATTCTTTCGGAAGTGTCCCACATTTAGATGAAGGTTTGCCGCAAACATCGCGACATATCTCATTTGAAAGAGCATTGAATTTCGAGTAAGAATATGTCATTTAAAAAATTATAAAACATCAGCATCGGGTTCTGGGGAGGTCCGACATTTAGGGATTTTATAGGTTCCAAGACGCAATTCATGCCTCATTATCTCAGAAATGGCAAAAGCGACAAACATGAACGCCTTAGGACATAGACTAGAGACCACAAGGAATAAAATGGCTCACTTAAAAGAAATTCAAAATGCTGCATTGCTCTACTGTACTTGTTCCAAGATGGTGAAAATCATGAAAATCCGGCATATTGAAATGCATTTTTCACCATCAAATCGAACTCTAAACTCAAAACTAATATGTGCATCAGATTCCTCGTAGTCAATTCTATCTAGAAATGTAATCTTTTGTTTTCTGCATCGCTCCTGTAAGCCTGCTGAAAGCCACCTTTCACAAGCATTACGACACTTATTTGATTTTTGATGGTCCCAAAGCTATTTTTAACTTTCCCAGTTCTTGTTGATCCCAATGCACATTTTCAGACTCTGCGCCTCTTGAAACATATGAATCAACTGAGATCCCAATAGTTTATCTCCAGTTTCTGAGATATAGGTCTTTGAAATCCCGAATGTTCCAGAAAACTTACCAACTGCAAAGTAAATCGAAAATTTTTTTTTAACATTCCATTCGACAGAACATTCATTTCTCTACAAAATTACATTACTTCCACCTTTACATTGCTTAGCAAAATTAAATCGCATCAAAAATTCGAAAAGAGCTCATTAACGGCTAAAAGATGCGTGATTTCACTGCTATTGTTGTACAACAATTGTGTATTGACTCCAACTCGGTCATTCTTTAGCTTAAAAACGTGAAAAATGTGCCATTTTGTAGAGAAATGAATGTTCTGTCGAATGGAATGTTAAAAAAAAGATTTTCGATTTACTTTGCAGTTGGTAAGTTTTCTGCAACAGGATATTTCGCTTTCACACGTGGCTAATTCTTTC